AGTTCTCGGCGGACACAACATCTTTGTTGGTATGTGGTGCTGAGGATCAAACCCAGGCCGCACGCATGCCAGGCGAGCGCGCTACCGCTTGAGCCACATCCCCAGCCCCCAAAATCCTTTCTTAACTACCTTGTGTCAAACCTGATCTGAACTGATGTGAGGTTAAGTATAGCTTTTAATTATTTCACTTGATGCAAATATTCTTGTTTTACTGTAGATAAGGTGTTTGGTCTTGGTATATTATATATAACTCTAGGCCCCACTAGGGGTATTATGCAAGACAGAATTTACACCACATTACCTTTAAAAAATTGGAAAAGTTCTGAATTCCAAACTCTTGAGATCAAAGACTTAGGTAAGGGATTGGGACTGCTGATACATTAGAGAGTGATATGGGACAAGGAGAAAACCCAAGCTAGGGAAAATGTGAGAACTGTGGATGGGACTTGGCTTACAATTTAAAGAGCATGGCCAGGGGGATGTGAAGGAGGAAAGGAAAGGAACCATGTAAATATCCAGTGACGGAAATAGCAAGTGCAAAGTTCCTGAGCTGGAGACCATGCCTGATGTGTTCGGGGAACAGCAAAGAGGTCTGTAGGGCTGGAGTGGAGCGGGAGAGTTGGAAATAGAGGAAGAAGAGGTTGGGGAGATGGTGAAATGGGTCGTTGGCCACAGGGAATAAAGTGGGAGAACTAGTGAGCTGAAGGTGGAGGACAGACAGCATCGACCAACCTGCTTGGCCCACCACGGCTCTGTTTACCCCTCACACACTTGAAATCCGTGCTTCCCCCTGAACTTCCCCTCAGGCCAAGAATCAAATAAAACCTCAGTACCACGGACAGCACCTCTGCCCACTGCCGCTACCGCTGTCCAAGGTGCTGATGCGGAGAGAAGAGGGTAAGAGTGACTTAGGTCTGAAGGTGGGTGACAGCAGCCCTGGTCTTGACCTCATTCTCAACTCTAAAAGATGGATGAACTTCAGTAGAGAACACCTCCATGAGTCACAGCATTTCAAATTCAACTCCACCAAAACGGCTGTGTTTTAGAACGTACGAAAGAACACTATTGTCCTTGACTCAAAACCCTTGTGGCCAGGTGCTCTGGTGCACACTGGTAATCTCGGCTACTTGGGAGGCTGAGGCAGGAGGATCACAAGTTGGAGGACAGTCTGTTTTAGCTTTTTGCTGCAGTGACAAAACACACACACACAATATCTACAAGAACAATTTTAAGAAGACACATTTATTTGGGGGCTCACCGTTTCAGGGGTCTTGGTTCATAGATGGCTGACTCCATTCCTCGCAGCTCAAGGTCAGACAGAACCATGGTGAAAGAGTGTGGTGAAGTCAAGCAGCTCAGGGCATGACGATCTGGAAGCAGAGAGACACTAAGCTCAGCTCACAAAATATATATCAATGACCCACCTCATTCAGCCACTGCCTGTAGGCACCACTCAGTCAATCCCTATCAGGAGACTAATTCACTGATTGGGTTGTGAGATCCTTAACCCAATCGTTCACCTCTAAACTTTTTTGCATTGTCTCACACATGAGCTTTTGAGAGACACCTCATATCTAAACCATAACAGCCTCAGCAACTTAGCAAGGCCTTCAGAGACTTAGTGAAACCATCTCTTAAAAAGGACTGGGGATGTAGCTCAGTGGTAAATCACACAAGGGCTCAATCCCCAGTACCCATAACAGAGAGAGAGAGGACACACATTGAGAACACGCTGGGAGTATAGCTCAGTCGTAGAGCACTTGCCTAACATGCGAGGCCCTTGTCAATCCCTAGTACCCCCCCCCCCGACACACACACACGATATCTCAAGCCGGGCATGGTGGCCCATGCCTGTCATCCCAGCAGCTTGGGAGGCTGAGTGAGGCAGGAGGATCACGAATTCAAAGCCATCCTCAGCAAAAGTGAGGCCCTAAGCAACTCAGCAAGACCCTGTCTCTAAATAAAATGCAAAATAGGACTGGGGAGGTGGCTCAGTGGTTGAGTGTCCCTGAGTTCAATCCCAAGTACCCCACACACACACACACAAAAATCTCTCTCAAGACCGCAGTGGCTTTCTAAGCAAAAGCCAACTTCCTAGTGGCATGGGCATTTGCACTTCCGTGTGTGTCCACCTGAAGGCTCTTCCCCTGCATTCATGCTTCATTCACTCCTTCACCTCCTTCGGGTCTTTTCTCAGCTGTCACCTCCCCAGCAAATCCTACCCTGACCACCCTATTTGAAACTGAAAAATCCAGTTGGTCTTTCCAGCTTCTCTTCCCTGTGAAAACAATTTTTAAATCATCTGCTCATACACTTTATGTTTAGTGGCTGTTTTCTTCTCGTCAGCTCTACCAGGTCAGAGACTTTGTCTATTTTTCTCTCATGATTGGGTCCCCAGCTGCTCTATCAAAGCACCTGGCACTGGTGGCTCGAACGGGCCCTGGAATACAAGAGATTCTTAAACAGTGTTTGTTGGAGTAATGAACCAATCGCTTGAACATGGCATAGACTAAGAGGAAGCAGGGACTGACCCTGAACCACCACTTCCCCACCCCTGGCCCCTCTGCAGCCCCAACCATGGGCTGCTGTGCCCTCCCATGGAGCATCTCTGTTTTAAATGCCTTTCTGTGAAGACAGGAAAACGGAATTCTGAGAAGTGACAGAAAGAACTGTGGTCCAGAGAGATTTGCCAAATGTCTGCATCACGACTGAATGTCCTCACCCAGCCGACATTTATGAGCACCTACTGGGTGCCAGGTGCTGTGCTAGGAGCTGGGGACCTGGCAGTGAACAAAACAAAGACTTTATCTTTGTGGAGCTGACACTGTAGAGAGGAGAGATGTCATCAAGTAAATGCTTAATGTTGGAAGTGATGGTATTCGAAGCTGTGCAAGTTTTCACACGTGGTCAGAGAAAGCCACTCCATGTAGATGCTATTTGGCCAGAGACCTAAATGGAGTTATTTCTTTTTTTTAAATATTTTTTTTAGTTGTTGATAGACCTTTATTTTATTTATTTATATGTGGTGCTGAGAACCAAACCCAGGGCCTCGCATGTGCTAGGAGAGCCATCTACCACTGAGCCACAACCCTAACCCCTGGAGTTGTGTGTTTTTTATAAATCTGCTGGGTGTGATGGTGCTTACCTATAACCCCATGACTCCAGAGGCCAAGGCAAGAGGACTGCAATTTGAGGCCAGCCTCGGCAATTTAGCAAGACTCCCAAAAACTTAGTGAGACCTTGTCTCAAAATTAAAAAAAAAAAAAAAAAAAGGACTGGGATGTGGTTGAGTGGTAAAGAACCCTTGGATTTGATCCCCAGTACCAAAACATGAGCCAAACAGATGTCTATGAATGACTGCTCTGGGTAAAGGAACATCAAGTGCAAAAGACCTGAAGTGGGGCCTCAGAATGCTCCTGGGTAGGTAATTGTGTGATGTTAGTGTTAACTACTCTGTATAACTGATGTGTTGCAGTGTAATGTATCTGGTGGGGGTGGGTGCTGAGGCAGTATTTTTGACAGAGCTGTGTCACCATGTGCTTCGGAGTTTGTATGTGTTTGTGTGCATGTGCATGCATGCAAGTAGTGGCTATGGTACAGTTGTATCAGAGTGTGTTGTTGTGTGTGTGCAAGAGAAAGGATGTGTGTGTGTGAACACAGGACAGAATGCGTATGGGATCCTTTGTGTCTGGATGGATATAGCTGTGGGCATGTGGATGATGGAGATTCTGGAAATGAAATATATGCAGAGATGTCATGGTGTGTGTGTGTGTGTGTGTGTGTGTGTGTGTGTGTGTGTAAAGGGTGTGGGGGTACCCAGCTGTTTGAGTGGGTGTATTGGGGGATGTTGTGGAGCTGTTTTCTGGTCCCAGAGAGAGAGAGAGAGAGAGAGAGCGCCCAGGAAATCACAGTTCTGCCCTGCCCCTGGGTCTCCAGGCAACAGCACCACTTTGAAGTTACCAGGAGACCAGGTTGCTAGGGCAACACAGACAGGAGTGGCAGCTCTGGGGCAAAGTCTGGGTGAGGAGACCCAGTCAATGATCATGCTCACTCACTTCGTTCCTTCCTCTCACCCAGTTTCTCAAAATCCCTACCTTTCTTCCTTTGCTGATTTAACAAGAACATATTTGAGACTTGCAATGTGTTAACGCTGTTCTGAGCCCTGGAGTGACAGAGGTGACAAGGCAAACCAGACCTCTACTGAATTTCTCTCTCCCAGCCCCTTTCTTTCCTGCCTCTTTTGTCTTATATTCCCCCTTCGCTCCTTCCCTCAGCAAAAGGAAGATTCGAGAAGCCCCCATGCCAATGAGAACGTAAGGTGAGAAGCCTCTTCTCACAGAGCCTCTTAGGTAGCTGCTGCTGTTTTGTTGTGTCGTTGTTGTTTGCACACAGTGTGCCTGAACCTGTGGCCCCAAACACTTGCCACCATATTCAGGTGTGTAGAGACACAAGCACACAACTCATCCCTCTACACTTCTCAGTTACATTGGGTGACATCATCAAAACCACACACAGACACAAGCCCATCAATATTGCCCTGAGACACCATGAGACCCATTTTACAGGTGAGCAAACTTAGGCTAGGAGACTTGAAGTAATGTCAGTGATTTGGGCCTGTTTGCTCCAACACTCAATGCGTATATGTTGCTTACAAGACACTCACCTTAGAGACGTGCACAGACTAAAGATGAAAGCATAGGAAAAGATATGCTGATTAGCTGACTAGCTGATTAGCTCGCAGTAATAGTACTCATGCTGCTTCCCCCAGCAGCCTCCCTCAGAGAACGGTCTTATCTCCCTTAAATTCCTCCATTTCTCTAAAACTCAAGACTAGGTTATCTGCTCAGTCCCCAGGGGGGGAGCTAGCAAACACGATTTACTTTTGATGGACAGCCCCAGGGACCAATAGAGAAGCTAAGTTTACTGTAACCAATGAGGCCTCAGTTTGGGAGGGATCAAGGCTGGGAATGCGCCCCCGATTGGACAGTGACGTGTTGCGAATGGCGGAGACGCTGAGGCGCGTGCTAAGCCGGGGCAGCGCGGTGGGGACCGGGGAGGACACGGCAGAGGCGGGGCCACCTTTGCTCTTACTCGGTGCTCCAGGCTCTGGAAAAACAGCGCTGCTATTTGCGGCGGCCTTGGAGGCGGCAGGAGAGGGCCGAGGCCCTGTCCTCTTCCTGACTCGTAGGCCTCTTCAAAGCCTGCCCCGCGGCACCGGTGCGGCGCTTGACCCTCTGCGGCTGCAGGTAACGGTGGGGCGGGACCAGAGGCATACCAGCCAATAGTGGGGCGGGTCGAGGATTGAGTGATAGATTGGTAGGTCCCTGGCGGGGATGGCGGGAGGGCTCACCCGAGCGGCCATGAAGGGGTGGAGTCAGGAGTGCGTGAGGGGTGGAACCAGCGGAACTTAATTGAGTGAAAAACCAGCCATGACGGGCGGTGTTAGAGGCGGCCCAGGGGGCGGGGTCAATGTTAATTGAGGGGTGGGGCTAATGGAGCTAAATTTTCAGGGCTTGGTCGGACTGAGAGTGATGGTAGGGGCAGGTTTCCTCTGGCAGTATTGGCCCTTAACTAGGACATGGCAGTGCTGGAAAAAGGATGAATAGGAGAATATTTACCACGTTGTCACCCTGGAACCAGCTGTCTAGGGAGCGAGAGAGTCTGGGACAGCAGGGCTGCCACTGCAGGGAGTCTGACTTCCTATGCTGAATCTGGCCTTTTCTTTTCTTTCTTTTTCTTTTTTCTTATTTTTGAATCTTCTAGAAGATTCGCTTCCAGTACCCACCCTCAACTGGAGAGCTTCTGCGGCTCCTGTGCTCTGCCCATGAGGCTCCGGGGCCTGCCCCCTCCCTACTGCTGCTTGATGGCCTGGAGGAGTACCTAGCAAAAGACCCTGGGCCCCAGGAAGCCGCCTACCTGGCTGCCTTGCTTCTGGATACAGTTGCCTACTTCAGCCACCGACGTGGACCCAACCGAGACTGTGGGCTCATGGTGGCCCTCCAGACTCAGGAGGAAGGAGACAGTGGGGATGCCCTGCAGCTGGCACTGCTCCAGCGGTATTTCCCTGCCCAGTGCTGGCTGCAGCCAGATGCACCAGGCCCAGGAGAGTGCCGCATCCGAGCCTGCCTTGAGCCAAGTGGGCTGGGTCCCAGGACAGAGTGGTGTGTGACTTTCCAACCAGATGGAGAGATGAAGATCACCAGGTGGCCCACCCAGGCTTGTGACCCCAGCTCAGACAAGAGTTCAAGCTCTGGAGACCAGCCCTGAACCTTGGTGTGTGACAACCTGTCTGCCTCAGTTTCCAGGGGCTGGAATACTTATTTCAGGAACGTGTGCAGATTCATCACTTAAAGAATATAAAGTGCTTTTTCTCTTTAGCACTATATATAGGGGTTAAAAATTAGCATTATAGGGCTGGGATTGTGGCTCAGCAGTAGAGCACTCGCCTAGCATGGGCAGGACCCTGGTTTGATCCTCAGCACCACATAAAAATAAAGGCATTGTGTTGTGTCCATCTACACCTAAAAAATAAAAATAAATAAAAATTAGCATTATAGAGGTTGGGGAGAGAGCTTGCATAGCATGTGTGAGGCCCTGGGTTCAATCCTCGATACCATAAACAAGCAAAAACACCCTAGTATTACCATGTACATATTATGTCCAATCAATTGATTTTTTTTTTTTTTTACTGTTTTGAACTGTATAAAGAGTTTCATGATAAATGTAATCTGAGGCTTCCTTCTTTGCCCAGTTAAGATTGTAACTAAGACTCAGCCACATCTTCTAGTTCATTCCTTTTTCGATGTTGCATATTAATCCACGGGCAACTCTACCCTAATTTATTCATCAGATTGACTTATTTACTGCTTGAACATTCTAGTAAACATGTCCTGTATACATAGGTGTACCAGGATATATACCTAGGGTATATACTTAAAAGTGGAATTTCTGTAGCATAAAGTATTCATGTTTTCAGCTTTCTCTGATTAGGCCAAACTTTTAAAAAGGGGCCAAATGAAAATTGCTGCTAAATGCCATAATGATATTTGGCATCACCACAGTACTTTCTCTCACCACCCCCTTTTGTCCCCAGTACTGGGGATGGAACCCAGGGACGCTCTACCACTGAGCTACATCCTCAGTTGTTTTTTTAATTTTTGAGACAGGGTCTCTTTAAGTTGTTGAGACTGGCCTAGAACTTGCAGTCTTCCTACCTCAGCCTCCTGCAATTATAGGAGCCAGTGCTTTCTTTAAAACATGGCCTGAATAGGTGTAGCGCACAAGCTTATAATTTCAGCAACTCAGGAGGCTGAGACAGGAGGATTGTAAGTTCAAGGCCAGCCTCAACAACTTAGGGAGGCCCTAAGCAACTTAGTGAAACCTTGTCTCAAAATAAAAAATAAAAAGGATTGGAGATGTAGCTCAGTAACAGAGTACCCCTGAGTTCAATCCCAGCACCAAAAAAAAAAAGCCTGATTCAGAATAAAGCCCTGTGAGATACTGTTTTATTGTTTTTTTTTAAATTTATTTATTTTAGTTGTAAATAATGCCTTTATTTTTATGTGGTGCTGAGGATTGAACCCAGGGCCATGCACGCGCCAGACGAGTGCTCTACAGCTGAGCCATAACCCCAGCCCCTATTGTTGTTATTAGTGATAGAGACTAGATAGAGGGTTACTAAAAAGTTTTCTTCTCCTTGGGTGTACAACAAATTACATCTCTCAGCATCCCATGATTCTAGTTGGGTCACATGACTTTCTGACCAGTAGAATGTGAGAAAAGCAACTGTCTTCAGATGAGATCCCTAAAATGAACTGTGGAATCTCCTGCTGTTCTGCTGCATCCCTTTGTTTATTAGCTGGCAGGACGTAGAGGATCGATCTAAGAACCCCATGGTCATCCCAAGAGAAGACTAAGCTATAGACCAAAAGACTTTGGGCCTCTGACTCATCCCAAAATGGCTTCCCACCAGTCTGAATTAGGATATCAGCGAGAAACCATGTAATGAGCTAAGCCAGTAAGATCTAGGAGCTGCTTGTTACACCAGCTAGTGTAATTTACATGACTAATTTATTTCATTATGATTAGTCTTCACATTGCCAGGTCCAAAATTTCAGAGTGAGATCAAGGACTTTATCTGCTGCCCCTGTGGCCATGGCCTAGGGAAATATGGGGCTTACAGAGAGTTTGCAGAAGTCATAGTAGAAAAACTTAACATTTTATACATATATGTATATACAAAAAAAAAAAAGAACATACATATTATAAAATACTGCACAGTTGGGACTTTCTGAGCAGAATGGGTCGGGTAAACAGTCAAAGTTAGCAATGCCCCTAGCCTTGAGGGCAGCCTGTCCGTTCCTGTTCAGGTCAGTCTTGGACCTGAACTGGCGTTGCAGTCATGTTGGATCCCCATGCATCTGTAGGCTGGAGTCCTAAGAGCAGGCCACATAGCTGGGGGACAGAGGCTCAGGGGTTGGGACAGGGCTGTTCTCATACAGGTTGGAGTAGGGGCTATCGAAGGAGCCCCCTTGGGCTCCCTGGGAGTCCCCTGAGCTGTAATCTGTTGAGATGCCTGAATCAGAAACCACGAGGTACAAGTACTTCAGGTGGGGTGGGGTGGGGGGCAGCTCAGGAGGCAGTGCTCGAGGACGCAGGAGCTGGGAGCTGGGGTCCAGGATGGTGTACTCAAAGCTGGCAGCTGAGGCCCCCTCTTGTCTGGGCTTTAAGACCAAAGCAGATGAGCATGAGGATGCTTCTGAACCTTCATCCACAGCCACTGTGTCCACACTGCCATCAGGCCCTGAGAGGTCCTCACTGCATGGGCTCTGGGGCAGCAACCACTTGTCCAGCACCAGATAGGAGTCCTGGGCATGTTCATTGCCCACTGGCTCCAGCAGAGGCCCCTTGTCATCTGCTTCTGGCTCCACTGCCTGGGTAACCCCCCAGCAGCGCTCTGAAAGGACTTCCAGGCGGGCTGGTGGGTCCTCTGTGAAGGGTGTGCAGGGGTTCCACCAGAGACAGCCATCGTGCTGGGAGAGCCACAGCTGGAGAAGCAAAACCGGCTGCTCAGAGGCCAGGGCCTCCTCTTTCAGGGGCAGGATAGCCCCAGGCTCTGGGGGGACAACCAGGCCACCTACCTGGAAATTACCCTTGTGGGTGGTGAAGAGACCCTCAAACTCGCTCTCTGGGCTTGGAATGCCAGGCCAGATCTTCTGCTTCAGGGCCCTGTTAAAATTGATAGAAATATTTTGGTGGACATAAGTCATTGAACACTCACCACTGCTCTTAGCCCCCAGTCACATGTGAACAAATATTCCTGGTCCCTGTGATCATGATGGAGACAGAGGGGTACATCAGGACTGGGGAACAGGGGCTTTGGCTGAAGCATCAGTGAGGTCCTTCAGAAGGCTAATTAGAACGGATTTGTGAGGATGACAAGGAGCTCAATATAGACTGACTCAAGCTCCGAACCTGGTCCAGGGTTTGCCTAGAGGAGCACTATCGTTACTTCTCTTATCACTCCCTTCAGTGGTTTCTCAGCATTCGGAATATATCCAGGGCTGGGGATGTAGCTCATGTAGAAGGCATGCTTAGCACTCTTGAGGCCCTGGGTCCCATCCCCAACACACACAAAACAAAATCCAAACTCCTTCCCCTGCCCCACAGGTCCTGCGTGATCAGCCTCCTGGTATTTCCTTTGCCTCTTTCACCATTCCCCCCTCACATAGTGCTCCAGCCATATCTCTTACAGCTGCTTCAGTGTCCCAACTTCATTTCCACCAAAGGACCTTTGCACTTGCAGTTTCTTCTCCCCACTTTTCACATGGCTGCTTCCTATCAACTCTGAGGTTTCTACTCCAGAAGCCTTCCCTAACTATCCCATCATATATGTACCCACGTCATGTGTTTCTAGGATATCACTCATAGCAATTTAAATATATATATATATATTATATATATTAGTTTTCGGCGGACACAACATCTTTGTATGTGGTGCTGAGGATCGAACCTGGGCCCCACGCATGCCAGGCGAGCATGCTAGCGCTTGAGCCACACCCCCAGCCCAGCAATTTTTTAAAAAAATATTTATTTATTTTAGTTTTCGGCAGACACAACATTTTTGTATGTGGTGCTGAGGATCGAACCTGGGCCCCACGCATGCCAGGCGAGCATGCTAGCGCTTGAGCCACACCCCCAGCCCAGCAATTTTTTAAAAAAATATTTATTTATTTTAGTTTTCGGCAGACACAACATTTTTGTATGTGGTGCTGAGGATCGAACCCAGGCTGCACGTATGCCAGGCTAGTGCGCTACCACTTGAGCCACACTCCAGCCCCAGCAATTTTTTTTTTTGAAGAGTTATAAAGAAGTTTATTTTGGCTCATGGTTCTGAAGGCACATGGTTGAGGGCCGACATCTGGAGATGGCCTCTTTGCTGGCAGTCCTGAGGCAGAGCAAAGCTTCTCACGGCAAGAGACAGGGAGTGTGTGTGTGTGTACTCATAGCAATTTATAATTAAGTATTTGTTGGTGCCCTTGTTTGTTGTCTGCCTTGTTTGTTGATTTAACTACAAGATCCACAAAGTCAGGGACTTGTAAGCAGGATCTGGCTTGGTCTCCACTCTCTCCTCAGTGCCTACCACATTTTGGTACCCAATATGTACTTTCCCACAAATAAGTGAACAAGGCCATGAAAGTGAATTAGTGGGCACGGCAGGAAGGACATCCCAGGCAGAAGGAACTGCAGATGCAGAGACTTGGGGTGTGAAAAGGCACGGTGTGTGTTTGGAATTAGACCTCAGAATGGCTAGTCAGATCATTAAGCATCTAAGGAACTTGACAACAAGGGTCAAGGGCCATTCAGGAGCTTAAATCTTTCCATTAAGACCATCTGGTTGATTTGATAAAAGTCATTACACTAGGAAAAGGAACTAGCAAAGGAATCCAAGAAGGGGCAGACACTGAGGTACAAGGAAAACCAGGTGCACGTTCCCAGGGACAGAAAATTTTAACCAAGAATCTGGGTCTGGTCACTTTGGGCGAGTGTTTCCTCCTAAGTCTAGCTTTCCCTAGTGAAAGAAAGATGTTCCTGGAAGGAACATCCACGTGCCCAAATTGGGGGGGGGGGGCGCTTACCGACGGTGGGACAGCAAGGCAAGCACGGCCAGCAGCAGCAGGATTAGCACCAGGATGAGGGAGAGCGTCAGGATGAGGGGGTCCAGGTCTAGGAGGTAAGGAGGAGGTCAGGGCATGGGTTTGCCCAGCATTTCTCCGCAGCTCCTTCCACACCCCCACCTGGGTCTCACCGCTAGCAGTCAGCAGCGACACAGGCTCAGACCAGGCGCTCCAAAAACCACCGAAGCTCGGCTCGGCCATACGCGCACGAACTGCGAAGGTGTAGCGCGTGGCTCCACGCAGATTGCTCAGCACGCACTCAGTGCGACCCTCCAAAATCTCCACCTGGGCGAGGGGCACAAGGTGGACATGTACAGAGAAGGGCGCTTGGGGCGGGCCCTGCAGGGATCCAGCTAGTCGGAGAGAGAGGCAATGCCTGAGTCTAAGCCAATGAGAGTAGGGGGTGTATCCCAGGAAAGCTCAAGGCCAATCAGAGTAAAGATCCCATGACAAAGGGCGGGACCTGCGCTACCTAAAGGCGGGGCCCGACAGCCTAGAGTGAACTGGGTGCTGAAGTGTGCGGTTAGGGATTTAAGAGTGACAGAAGTTGGGGTTGAAGCGGATCAGCGGGGCATTGGCAAAGGGGTCGTGAAAATGAGCGTGGAGCTTTCTTAGGCATCAAGGCAGTGGGATGTGGGCCGTCAGGGATGGGGCTGGAGGGACCGAGCCTCGAGGGCGGGCCGTGGGGCCCTTCTGGGTGGGGACTTAGGGAGGTCAGGCAGTCTGCTGCGGAGCTGCTAGGGCTGGGCGGTCCCGGCAGGCCTCACCCTCTGCGATCCTCCTGCACCGTGACCGGCCGAGACATCCACTTCGTAGCGGATTTGGGTCGTCATAGGTGCCCCAGGAGGCGGGAGCCACCGTAGCACCACGTGGCCGCCCTCCTCGGCCTGCCGTGCCAACAGGCCTGCTGGGGCGTCCAGGAGCACTGCAGAGTGGGGTTGATCAGGTGGGCGGAGACTAAGACCCCCTCCCCTGACCCCTCCTCTGTTCCCGGCGCACATACCCACTTCGTTGATGTGGATGGTACGGTGATAGCGCACAGTACCCGAGGAAGCCACTGTGACTTGCAGCTCTAAGGGCACGAAGCTCGACGTGTCGGCCGTAGGCAGCGAGCACCAGAAGCGCACCGCGCCACGGGCAGTGGGTTCCTGGTGCAGGTGACACGGCTTCCGTGGCTCACCCCTATGCGCCCGAGAACCCAGGAGAGAAGGAAGCAAATTGGGAGGGGGAGCTGGGAAATTTGTGTTATCCAGACTGTGGTGGCATTTTGGTTTCTAGCACCGGGGGGAGCCTCAGCTCCAGGGTAGTGACGCCTGAGTCCAGCATAGAAATTATATTGCCCCAGTCCTGATGTTTTGGGGTCGCGTGAAAGCGGCGATCACTGGAGTATTCCAGCACCTGCCACCAGGGGGGGTGTTAGCCCTGGCCTGGTAGATTTTCCACCAGTGACCACAGCGCGAGGCGCCGTCCAACTCCAGGCTCTAGGGGACATCTCAGGCTAGGGCCTCCGGGAAATTCTACCTGTCCGCACCGCACCCCTCGAGACACACACACACACACACACACACACACACACACACACACACACACACCGGTGGGACATCTGCCCTGACTCACTCGAGCTGGTAAAAGAAGCTGTAGTTGTGGGAGCCGATCCTAGAGCTCGCCGCTTCCTCCCAGAAACACACCAAGTCCTCCAATCTCTCTGTGAAACACAGAAGGTCTTCGGACCCGCGGGCTGCCAGCAGGGCCGCTGGGAAGTGACAATGGGAGGGGGTCAGGGAAGCCGAGCCCTGTTCCTGGCCACAGCCCCCTTCCCCTCCCTCCGCCGCCTGTGCGGACGCGATAAGAAAAGAAGCACCGCCCCGCCCTCTCCCGGAGCAGGGTCCTCCAGGGGTCTGCAGAGGGGGTGCCCTTGGAACTCCCCAGCGCAGGTTGCTTGCCTACTGTCCCCCACGCCATTACACACACCCGCCCACCCCGTGGCCAGCTGAGCAGTGCACAACCTTCAAGACCTCGGCCCCCAGCTGCCCGCGCTGCTCCAGGCCTGGATGTGTGCACTGCTGGGTGTGTGTGGAGGAGGCGGTCCCCTATCTGCCCCAGCAGGCTCCCGATAGCGCCAACCGTGTCCCCCGCTCCCTTCTTCCACCCGATGGGGCTAGGGATCTGGCGCCCGCTAGCAAAACATGTTCACAGTCGCCTGCAGCCTGGCCTCTCTGACTCTACCCGGGCTTTAGCCTCTTTTCCCAATTGGAGGGTCCGCTTGATCCCTCCCCCCAGGGACTCAGACTGCAGGAGGCCTAGACCCAGCACACCCTTGTTCCATTAGGCTTTAGCATGTCCTAGACTCCCTGAAAAGATAAAATAAGAATCATATATATATGATTATATATATATATATATATATATATATATATATATATATAACACAAAGTATCTATTTATTTTTCTGTGGTGCTGAGGATCGGCCCAGTGCCTCACACATGTGAGGCAAGTACTCTACCACTGAGCTCCATCCCCAGCCCTAAAATAAGAATCTTATGCCCCTCTCTTAACTTCTTCCCCAAGACCCATCCTGGGGACTTAGACCCCAGCTTGCTTCATTGGGACCTGGTCTGGGGATTCAGACACTAGCTTGCTCCCCAGGATCCAGTCTGAAGGTGCAGAACCTAGTATGGCCCCCAGGACCCAGAGTGGGAATTCAGGCCCCAGCACTGCCCTCCAGGACTCAGGGTGGGCGTCCACACAGACTCCATTCTTACCTTTGCTCTCAAGCTTGGGGTTAGGCAGGTTGAGTGGGGGCGCCAAAGCTGCTTCAGCAAGCAGGAGAAAGAGAGGACTGACCCCGGGCCAAAGGGGAGCCCTGAGGTGGCCCATGGTTCTACCTGGCCCCCCCGGGAGCCCAGGGCTCCTGCCCCGAGGACCAGCCCCGGGCACAGTCCACAGCTGGGTTCCGCAGCTGCCTCCACCGGACACAGCTGACCAGGCAGGCTCTTCCCGGCCAGAAGCCTCCAAGAGGCAGCTTCCCCAAAGGGGCGGGACCAGCACGCAGCCTGGGCAGAGATAAGCACCCGCCAGGAGGGGGCAGGGGCCCTCCTGGGACCAGTGGCCCCTTGGAGGCAAAGGACAGCTCAAAAGCAACATCGGACACACTTTGTGTGACTATGTGACCCTAGACAAGTAACTTACCTTACCCGATATTCATTCTTCTCATCTGTAAAACCTAGCCTGATTCGTAGCAAGCATTTAAAAAATGTAAGCTACTGATATTATCCTGCTAATCAGCATTTCTCCCCAGACTGGAAATAAGAACAATCATCATAACGACTAGCAATTGAGTATAGGCGCAGGGCTAGGCCGGGCTGCTGGGGGGAAGGTACAACGTGGTCCTTCATTTGTAAAGTTACACATATTCTGGAGTGGGATTTCATTTATGATTTTGAGGGGGGGGGGAATGCTTACTTTTAAAAAATATTCTTTTTTAGTTTTAGGTTGACACGATATCTTTATTTTATATTTATGTGGTGCTAAGGATCGAACCCAGTGCCTCATGCATACTAGGTGAGTGTTCTACCACTGAGCCACAAACCTAGTCCCACATTTTTTTTAATATTTATTTTTTAGCTGTAGTTGAACACAATACCTTTATTGATTTATTTATTTTTATGTGGTGCTGAGGATCGAACTCAGGGCCTCGCATGTGCTAGGCGAGCACTCTACCGCTGTCATGACCCCAGCCCCTTACATTTTTATACACTTGGTATTTTATTTTATATGGTTCTTTTAATAATCTGGGAAATAATTATATTATAAATCATCAAATCCATTCACTAGGACTGAATTTCTCAAACTGGGGTACATACCTGCATAGAGGTGCACACCTACAGAAGGGAGGGGGTAACCATTGAGCCTTCCTACCCCAGACTAGCCAATCAAAGTACACCATTCCCTGACACTCAGTGATTGGTTCAGGGTGGGCTTGTTAACCAAGAGAGTCTGAGCTTCCATCCTGAGATTTCAGCTGGATTTGCTGGGAAAAGAGGCTCCCTTTTCTTGCAGATGTTGTGGTGGGCAGATGGAGTAACCAGAGAGGCATCTTTGTCAAAAGGAAGGAAGAAATAACCAGATGGTGAAGTTGACATGAGCTGTGTGCTGTTCCTTCCCTCTCCCTGGAAGGCTTTTCCCCTAGATATTAACCGAGCTCTCTCCCTCCCCTTATTCAGACCTCTCCCCGCACCTGCCTCCTCAGTGAAGCCCTCTCTGATCACCTCCCCCACATACCTCTTTCACCTTTAAACAACTTTTTTTTTTTCTTTTTCCTTTTTGGCTACTACTGTCCTTGTCACCTGATATATGTTTAATGTTTTGTTATTGAGTCTATGGGGGCAGGGACATTTGACCCTTTTCTTGATTACTGAGTCTCACCACAGAGAACAGAGTCTGGCACATAGTAAAAGTATTTATGGTGTAAAAGATTAGGAGAGAGCCCGCCGGATGCCTGTAACCCCAGCAGCTCAGGAGGCTGAGGCAGGAGGGTTGCAAGTTTGAGGCCAGCCTCAGAAGTTTAGAGAGGCCCTAAGCAACTTAGCAGACCCTGAACAGACCCTGAAATACAAAAGGGCAGTGGATGTAGCTCAGTGGTAAAGTGCCCTTGGGTTTAATTCCCAGTAGCCCCCCACCCCCATAAATAGAACCAAGCTAAGAGATACAGACAAACAGTGGATCTTGTGTAGCCCGTACAACTATTCCTGAGTACCTGGCACCAAGAAAGAAACAGGAAGGAAGGAAGGAAGGAAGGAAGGAAGGAAGGAAGGAAGGAAGGAAGGAAGGAAGGAAGCCACGGAAGTTGGGGCTGGGGGCGTAACTTGGTGATGCAGCACTTGCATAATGTGTACCAGGCCCTGGTTCCACACCCAGTAAACACATAGATCAGGGAGGATGTTTTCCTTAGGTAACTGGCATCTGGAGGGAGACAGAGTGATACTCAGTTATAAATAAAAGTGGCAAACTGGCCTCGTGGTTAAGTACATCTCTTCTGGTGTTGTATTATTCTGGTTTGAACACTTGATTTTTTTTTTTTTTTTTTGTAGATGGACATAACACAATGCCGTTTGGACATAACACAATGCCTTTTATTTTTATGTGATGCTGAGAATTGAACCTGGGTCCCACCTGTGCTAGGCGAGCACTCTACCACTGAGCCACAATCCCAGCCCAGCCACTTACTTTTGCTAGTCTCAGTCCTTCATGTATAAAATGGAGATAATACAGTGCTCAGTCCTTAGGGGTATGGTGAGAATTAAATTAGATTATTTTTCTTTCTTTCTTTCTTTCTTTTTTTTTTTTTTTTTTGATACCAGGGATTGAACCTAGAGGTGCTTTCCCACTGAGCCACATCCCCAGATATTTTTACTTTTTCTTTTGAGACAAGGTCTCACTAAATTGCTCAGGGCCTTGCTAAATTGCTGAGGTTGGCTTTGAACTTGCGATCCTCCCACCTTAGCCTCCTGAACTGCTGGGATTACAGGTGTGCACCAGGAGCCTGGCTAAGTGAAATTCTTAAAACTTGGCACACAGTGAGCACGCAGTGGGGACAGCAATTATTAGTTGCTTGGGTTAGTTCAAATAGGATGCTGTTATATCCAAATGGTCTTCAGGTCTTTATACTCACAGAAGAAAAACAACTCCGAAAAGTAGCATGATGTGTACTGTAACCAGTGTTCCATCAACCTGACATGAAGGTTAGCTTCTTCTATCCCCTCTCTTACTCCTGAGGGTGCCTGGGCTTTCCTTGCTATTTCTCCAGGGACAAAGGTTAGAACCATAGGGACTGAGAAAGAAGAAAAGAAAGAAAGAAAAGAAAGGAAGGAAGGAAGGAAGGAAGGAAGGAAGAAAAGAAAGAAAGAGAGAAAGAAAGAACCCTAGGAACTGTTTTCTGCCCATTCACTAGAATTTCTCCTCCTCCTCCTCATAGCACCCGAATTTTACTTCCATGTGTGTGCCCACCAAGACGCCACCCCTGTGATTTGAACTTTCTCTGCCAGCTCAGGGGTTGGGTACAGGACCCCAATCTGGCCAATCAGCATTTGGTTCAGGGATAGACATGTGACCCAAGATGGTCCAGTGGGAACTTGCTCTGAGATTTTTGCTGTGGTCACTATGCTAAGGAGGAGCTCTGTTGGCAGAGGAGGGCCCTCAGACCAGGGCCGAAGGACAGTCAGTGAACTGGTAAGGATCGATGGAGTCAGGAAAAGGAGAGCTGATTCAAAAGGAAACAAAATGCTAACACCTCCAGAGCACGTTCCCCTCCTCCAATGTGTTGCCAAGGCCACCTGCCTCCAGGTTCTGTTCCTCTCCTCAAGGAGTTGTTAATGAGCACTTCCTGGGTCACTCCCTGCCTGCCTGTACCTCTGAATGGCTTCTTTCCTGCTCTGGGTCACTGCACCTTTCGGTCAAGTAGGCAAGATAGGAGGAGGAGGGGGCATGAGAAGAAAGGAAATCTGAAATCTACAGAAGGACCGGACACCCCCTCCCTCGGGCACCAGCCTTGGGTCCCCTCCTCTACAGAGGAATCTTCCTTCTCTTCTCTTCCCTTCCCTTCCCTTCCCCTCCCCTCCCCTCCCCTCCCCTCCCCTCCCTTCCCCTTCCTTCCTTCCTTCCTTCCTTCCTTCCTTCCTTCCTTCCTTCCTTCCTTCCTTCCTTCCTTCCTCCTCCTCCTCCTCCTCCTCCTCCTCCTCCTCCTCCTCCTCCTCCTCCTCCTCCTCCTCCTCCTCCTCCTCCTCCTCCTCCTCCTCCTCCTCTTCCCCTCTCTCTCCCCTTCTACCCTTTAAACAAAACTTTTTGCTCTTGCCTTGGCATTTCCGGGTGTTCAGTCTCCACACCAGGGGAATGAAACCCAATCCTGATTTCCCAGAACCGGTGTCAGAAGCACTGGTGGGATGTGAGCCTGCCTTGGAGTAGGGCTATACTAATTGTTCTTTTAGTGACTGTAACAGAGAACCAAATAATAAAGGCTTAAGAAAGGTAGAAATTTATTTCTCTCCTATGTGATAGTCCAGTGGCAGCATCCTAAAATGGCAGCTCCAAGGTTGCAGAGGCCCAGGCTCCTTCTAGCTTGTTGCTCAGTCATTCAGAGGACATGGGCCACTCCATGCAGGATGATCCACTCCACATCTTCATTCCAACCAGCAGAAAAAGGAGGGGGTGGGAGATATCTACCCCTTCTTCTTTCCTTTTATATCTTATATGGCCACACTTGCTGCAGGGATTTAGGAAATGCAGCTTTAACTAGAATGGCTAGCTAAAAAGTCAGTGACTCTATTACCATAGAAAAGGGTAATTGGATTTGGGGGGATAACAGACAGTCTCATTCTCAGAGAAAACCACAGCTAAGACACAGCAATAAAATTTTGATATCTTTTGAGTCCCTGGATCCAACTGTGCCTGAAGCAGACACAATTGCCTTCTCAATTATATGAGCTATCAATTTTCTTTTTGGTACATACCTGTTTGAATAGGATTTCAACTACTTAAAGCCAAAAAACTCTGATTAATACAGTGAGATATAAAGCGCTTAGTGGATGCCCAGCTCAGACTAGAAGCCCGTGGTGGGCATGTTAATATTATTACTCCTCTGCAGTGGCCGCTCGGCTCCTTGTCTGCTTTCTCCACTGGCTTATTCTTCCTATAGGCAATGAGAGCTCACGTGCTCTTTCCGTCTTCACGGCCCTTACTGACTTGGGATAGGGTAATTTCCTTCTGTTTCTGATGGAATTTCAAATCTTCACTCTCCTATGTACACATCAGGAAAGACATTGCCCTCCAAAAGTCGGGGAGTCCCCCACAGCCTCCCTCCATGTGCGGCAGGGTCCACTCTGGCATCCACAGGAACTCTCAATGCCTTTCTCGGGGTTCTCGGTTTTCTCTGCCTTTTTGTTACCATCGTGGCCACCCTGCGTGCTAATGTCATGGGAGTGAGGGTCCAGGACTCAGAGGGCAGAGGGGCAGGGGCTGATGGGCTGGAGTTGAGGCGGGGTTACCAGAAAATGCAGAGCCCCACCAGGGGACACAGCTTTCCAGGAGAGGGGTACCCGGCCCCCATGGCTGTAGAAGCCAGGTCCCAAGTTGCCCAAGGGGCCTGTGACCTGGAGGGAGGAGAGGGCCACCTCAGCTTGCGGAGGCAGAAGGTGTGTGCCGGGTCCCCTCCTTCTGCCGTAGCACAAAGTCCCCAGGGGCAGCTGGACTCATTGCGTAGAAGACGTTGGCGTTGTCAGGAATCAGGAGCTCTGGCCAGGCATGGAGATGGTGGTGGGTTCACAAAGGACCTGGGCAACTTTCTACCATTTGTTCTAGAGCCTCAACAGCCTTGGGTCCCTCCAGCTAGTGCTGACCCAACCTCATTCTCTTCTCACTGGGGACAGTGACAACTCCCCAGCGCCTGGGCCACCTCCTACCATTCCTGCAGTGGGGTCTAAAGTGCTCACCCCACAACTCCCCGCACACCTCCCCCTCCCCCTACCACTTCCCAGCCAAGTTCAGGCTGCGGTCACCATGAACTTGGATGACTTGCTACTTCCCATCTGCTCGGGTTCATGGCCTTTGCAGTTTCATACATTCTTTCCCAATGTCCAGCCACCCTTCCGCCATGACTCTTGCCTCTCCATGTCCAAGACTAGGCAGCCTCTGACCTGCCTCCACACTGAACAACCTCATGCTCCCTGCCTTGGGTTCAAGAGCATGTGGCTGTCTCCTATTCCAAGTTCAGGCATCTCCAGGGTCCCCAGGGTGAGCCTCAACAACCTCGTTTCCTCCTGTATCTAAGCTCAGACACCCCGTCATCTTCTGCCCCTCCAGGTTGAGCCCCCCCAAAAAAACCTCATGATCCTACAAATTTAAAGTTGGACAAACTTCTAGTCCCTCCTTGCATTTGACCAGGACAATCTCATTGGCTCATAAATCCTAGGAAGCCAAACTTCAGTGCCCCCTCCATCACACCGGACCAGGACAACCTCCTACCTGGCTCAGCGTGAGGGTGGGAAATAGTACAATGTTACCTGAACCCACAGGGTATCTTCCTCCTCCTCTCCCCACCCTGCTCCATCTTACCCCTAACTGTGCCTAAAACACCTTGTGGCCCTGTGAGCCCAGGTAACGCTGGGCTCCAGCCTTGGCCCTGGCCAGACGGCTACTTTCCCACCTGCCTCCCAGTCTGGTGCTCCCAGCTGTCCCTGCTCACCCCTGTCCCCAGGAAGGACTTGGAAGAGCTGGTAGTCACGGGCCCAGGGCTGGGACACATTGTGCTTCTGTAGGGCTCGCTGCACGACACTGGGGGTTTTGTCCTGACTAGTAAGCTGGAAGAGGGGGGCAGGAGGTGAGGGGGAGGGCCCCAGCCCCAAGGGCAGGCTGTCCCCAGCAAGCCTCCAGCCCAGCCCCTCACCAGGATGCTCCGATAGAGGTTCCCATGGTTGTTGTCAATGCTGATGCGAATCACACGGGCCTCTGAGCTCTGCTGCCCAGGGAGGGGGATGCGAGGACTGGTCAGGGACAGGTCCGGGCCCAGGGGCAGCTGTAGGCAGTGGGGGGGGCAGAGGCATCCGCAGTGCTGATGGGTGGGAGACCACAAGGCCCCTCCCCCAGTGGTCTATTCAATAGGCCCACGGTTATATTCCCCAGCACACACAATCAAACGTCCCTCCACAGCCCCAGAGTCAGGGACACACAATTAGGGGACACAAGCAGGCCCACATATGCGCCAGCCCATCATACCTAGACCCCGTCTCCCTGTTACAGAAACAAATGTGCACATGACCCAGATACACACAGACCCGCATTCACACGCAAATCCTGTGTACAGGAAGGCAGAATGTGTTCACACACGCTTTCGCGCCTGTTGTACACCCGCGAGCCCATGCCAGTGAACAGCGCCACCCACGGTGTCCAGCCCACAGTTCCCTTCAGGGGTGCAGGTTCCTAGGGACACACTTGAGTAAGAGGGTGAGCAGGAGCTCCCTCCAGATCTGTGCCAGGAGGTGGGTGACCCATCCAACGTGGCTATGGAGACCCACACGGTCTCTTGGATGGATCCCAGAGAACTCAATGGGTCCCACACTCCTGTGTACACACACACACACACACACACACACACAGCCCTCCATGCAGACACAGGCAGGCGTGGTACCTTGGTGCTGGGGCCCTGGGGCCCTGGAGAAGCAGGGGGTCCAAGATGACGGTCCTCAGATCTAGGGCTGGATGGGGGGGACCCTGGGGACAGACTGGGGGGACACAGAGCCTGAGGTGGAAGCGGCCCTGACCCCTGGCTCTGCTGTCTCCAGGCTGTCTTCTACCTGGGATACCCACCTGGAGGTGGGCGATGAGGGGTCTCCAGGACTGCTGCCAGGGGACGAGTTTTTCTCTCGGGACAGCTTCCTGAGGACGGAGACAGGGGGTGAGGCTGAGGCCAGACTCAGCCCTGGGACAGCCCCCAGTATCTGCCCATGCACCCCCAGCAGCCCCCAAGACTCACGCACTGAGACGTTTAGTGAGGCTGATGCGTCTCCGGACACGCGGGGAAGTGGGACAGGACGCGGCTGGTGGCTCGATGACCCGGGAGACTCGGTAGCTAAGGGGTCAGTGTGTTGATGGGGGTTGGGTCCAGGCATCAGAGAGAGATGAGGAGACAGGAGTCAGCGTCAGTTGGGGTCAAGTTTGGGTGTGAGGGGAAGAAGCTGGGGGTTAGTCCGGGTCAGGAAGGAAAGCAGGTCAGTGAGGGATTAGGGCTCTTTAGGGATGGGGTGGGATGGCTTGAGTGGCAGGTCTACCAGGACTTGCAGAGTGAGAATAAGATGAATCGGGTCAAGGCTAAAGTTCAGGACCAGGTCATTCCTGGGACCACAGTGAAGGTCATGGATTTGAGAGAATGAGAAACAATGGGGACAGTTGAGTCTAGTGGTCAGGAAGACATCCAGGCTAGTCCATTGCTCAGAACCAGGGGTCAGTTATTAGGGTCATAGACTCAGATGGCAGAAGTTGCGAAGGGACTCATCATCAGATAGGTTCAGGTAGGGAAGAGGACAGATGGACAGTGGTTGCAGGTGGAAGTCGAAATGGCAGGGGGGGTCAAGTGTGGGATTACAGGTCAGTGGTGACCCTTGAACTAGGCTGGAGGTCACAGGTGGGGACCCAGGCTCAGATGTGGGTCTTGAAAGGAGCCAGGGAAGTGCACTGGGTGAGCAGGACCCTGCGTGTGATCCAGGGTCAGCTGGGGTGGGGAAGGGCTAGGCCACAGGGTGGTCACCTCTGCTCCTCACTGAGCTGGCGCTGGGCACGCAGGGCAGCCAGGACAGGTGGGTGGGGGCTGAGGCTGTAGCTCCGACAGCGCCTCTGCAGCTGCTGGATGCGGGCCAGGATCTCCCATTCCTGAGGGGGCAGTGGCTGAGACCCTGCCCCCCTGCCCACACCTCAGGCCACCTCCTTATATCCACCCCAATGCCACTCACCTTCCTCCTCTTCTCAAAGTTGATCAGATCCCCCTGGGGGCAAAGTTTATTTGAACTAGAGCCATCAGAGTCAAGGTTAAAGGGTCAAGGTCAAGAGCTAAGAAGTCAGGAGCTCCACTGTGCTCAGGGGGCTGGGGTCAGGAGTACAAGGCAGGACCCAGGGTGAGTGGTGAGGCCTACTGTGCTGGGGTAAGTGCAGCTGGGATCAAGGGTCAAGGGTCAGACCTCCAACATGTCCGGCAGAGCTGTGTCCAGCATAACCAGGTCCGTGAGAAAGGTGCCAAGGTAGGGAACAGGACCTGGGGACAGTTTCTGCTGCCCCCAAAGCTCGAGTCACTAGCCGTCGACACTGACCCCCTCACCTCCCATCCCTCCCCAGGGTCCCCCTCGACCCCCATCCCAAACTGGAACACTCACCGAAGGTAGGCTTCCTGGAGGGTTGTCCTCTTGTTGGGCTCCCTCAGTGGCCTCCTCCTGGGGGGGAGAGAAGGACTGAGTGGCCCTGGGATCTCCTTAGACCCTTCCTCAGAGAGGTCGCCTCAAGACCCACCATGTACACCCCTCCTTCTTTCAAGAATCACAAGCGAGTTTTCAAGCCAACCCCAGGAGGGGGCTACCCCGGGGAAAGTGCACGTGGAGAGAGAGGGAGAGCAGGGGTGCTGGGGGGCACAGAAGGGAATCCTTGTCCCCAGCCTGGATGGGACAGGCCCACTGGGAATTTGGTTCATCCTTGCTCTGCCTGCTCGTCATGCGGTCACTGGAATAGACAGCGCTGCATTCTGCATCTCCCTGTCCAGGGCTGGAGTCCCCCTGCTCCTGGGACAGTGATCATGCCTGGTTGGTGGCACAGCAGGAATAGCACCTGGTACACAGTAGGTGCTTAAGCAGGGCTTGTCCCTTGAACTCTCATTATTTGAATATGCCTTCACTAACAAGGCATTTATTGAGCACCTACTGAGTGCCATTCACCATCCTGGGTGCTGAGTAGACAGCAGTGAATGAGAGAGACAGAATTCCTGTCCTGATGGAGACCCAGGGAGGGAGACAGCAGCAGCCAGGCCAACCCCATGACAGCAGGGCAGGGACAAGGGCAATAATGCAGGCGGGGGCATGTGGAGATGAGGGGGCGCGGCGGGGCCTCTGTGGGTACCCGAGACCTGCAGGAGTGAACAAGTCGCACACTTATCTTGAGGGTTCCAGGCCTCACACTCCATCTATCTGGATTCTAAGAACCAGCTCCTGGTTGTAATTAGAACCTAACTCTTGCCTAAAGCGAATCCGGCTTGTTGGCCCACATTTAAAAATCTTGCTTATCAAGGTAAATCCCCAGCACAATTTTTTTCACACTTGGCTTTGACTTTGACCTTCAGTAACCTTCCCTCATGACTTCTTGGATATTGTTGAATGAATAAATAAGGTTGTGGCCCATTGCGAACTCTAATGGAAATAGCAGAGAAAATTAAAATGTGAGGCTGAGTATGGACGGGAGAATTGTCACTGCTGAAATGCAGGGAAAGGACATTGTGACAAGGACAAGAGGATGCCTCCTGCCTGGCCCCAAGTCCCCTTGCTGGGCCTGGGATTCACTGGGTTCCAAGTCTGTCTGTACCTGGGAAAGAATCTCTCTGCTACTGAGGTGGTTGTTTTCATCCGAGAAAATCTGTGAAAGTTTCCTGAAAGTGGATAACGGTTCCCTGGAAGGACAGAGAAGGGTGGTCAGGGGTCAGGAGCTGAGAAGGTCAGAGCTGGGATGGGGTGGCCCCCACCCTCAATCCAGGCTCACCGGCTCACAGCCCCCCAGCTGCGCTTGAGCCTATAGATGGGGTTAGACTGCAGGGCGGACAGAATGGCTCGCAAAGAAGAGAAGTTCCGCAGTTCTAGGCAGCACTGATGGGGTGGAGGTGCTGGTCACACCCCTAATCTGATTCCCAGGCACCAGGCACCTTTGATCTTGTGACTTCTGACCCCCAAGTCTCTCCCCACACGTGACAAGCTAAGCCTCTTCCTCCTCCTCTGGGAGACCCCTCCCTCTCCGGACTCGGCCAGCTGCTCCCTCTGAACTTGGCTTCTCCTGGTCCCTGGGTCCTAGACGTGTCCACAGCCCCTCTTCTGGACCTAGAACCCTCCTCCCTGAACCCAAGTCACCACAGGTATCAACTTACTTCCCCTCCCATCGCCTGGACACATGCCCCTCTCTGTCCCGACCCCCCCTCCCCAGTTCTTCTCATTTTTCAGGCTCCAGGCTCCGGCCTCACCTCTGCCCAGCCTCCCTCAGGATGCCTCCAGTCTTCTTCCCTCCCCATCTCCCCCACTCTCAGCCTCTCAGCCCAGCCGTCCCAAGCTCCTCCCATCTCTAACCCCAACTCCTCTCCTTCCCCCGCAGGTGCCCTGGCCCCGCCCTGTGCCCCTGACCCATCTCACTCTCTCCCGCCCCTCGGCACACACCTGGGCTATGCGGATCCACTTCTCGATCCGCTGTGCTCTCTGCGCGGCTGCCAGTCCCGGTGCCCCGAGTACGGAGCCCAGCACACAGCCGGTCACTGCATTGAACTGGGCCACAGTGGCACGCACAGTGGGGGCAACGCCTGAGGCCCCTGGGCGGTCCCGCTGCGACCACACCGAGCCCAGGCACTCGCAGGAACGCACCCGTGAAAAGAGCTCCTGATCAGGGGAAGGCGCGTAGGGTAGGGGCTCAGCAACCCGCCTCCCCTCTACATCCCCACCCTGCCACCGTCTGCAGTCCTCACCACATCCATAAGGGTCAGCTGCTCGGCCACCTCGCCCACACTGAAGTCCAGGAGGTCGGGACCTTCCCGCCTAGGCCCTTCCTCCTCTTCCACGAAGCCCTCCGGAGAGTCTGGTCTGGGGGACTGGGCCCTGGGAGGTCCTGAGAATTGATATGTGGTTTAAAATGCTCACTTGGGCCAGGCCCAGTAGCGCAGGCCTATGATCCCAGCAGCTTGGGAGGCTGAGGGAGTATGATCGCAAGTTCAAAGCCAGCCTCAGCAGTTTAGCAAAGCCCTAACAACTCAGTGAGACCCTGTCTCTAAATAAAATACCACAAAAGGGCTGGGGATGTGGCTCAGTGGTTAAGTGCCCTGGGTTCCGTGGGGGAAGGGGAATCAAAACCCTCAAATTGAATCCAGAGTTGCCTGTGTGATCTTGGGCTAATCCTTTTATGCTCAACCTCACCTTCCTCATCTATAGAGTGAATTCCCTGAGTATTTTAAAAGATGTAATAGCAACAATAATGAATACCTCACTGGGGGCCTGGGGTTGTGGCTCAGTGGTAGAGTGCTCGCTTAGTATGCATGAGGTACTGGGTTCAATCCTCAGCACCACATAAATGCGAAATAAAGATATTGTGCCCACTTAAACCTAAAAAGTAAAGATTTTTTAAAAAATTAATACCTCATATGAATTAACTTGCTAGCTCAGGGCACTAACTCCATTGAAGGAGGTGCTATAATTTATCCACCATTTAAGGTGGGGAAACTGAGGCACAGAACAATTTGCCCCTAAATCACATCTTCAGTAAAGGGCAGAGCAGAGATTTGAAGTGGAAAGCAGGATTTGGAGGTTGTATTAAGATCAGACTCTTCTGTCCTCTTTTGGAGAGAGGGAAGGTTGTTGTCGGAAAGTTCCAAATTTAGGGATGGGGTGTAGCTCAATGGTAGAGTCTAGCATGTGCAGAGCCTGGGTATTCATCCCTAGCACCACAAAGAAAAAAGTCCCAAATTCAAACTCAGGCTTGTCCACCAGCCTTGCTGTGCAAATCAAGATAAAACATGCCTTTTAATCTCTTTGTGCCTTAACTTCTTTATCTGAATTGTTTTAAAAGAGCAAATGAGTTATGCATACCAGACTGCTATAAAGTATTCCATAAACCTGAATGATTTTTCTGTGGTGGGTTTCAATGGTGGCGCCCCCTAGGGGACATTTTGGGGAAAAGATCTTGCTTCCTGGAAGGATGACTGCATAGCTAATTTAGCCTCCCCAAAGACAGTGGCCCTCCAGAGATTTGTATTATGGGAAAAAATCTATTTACTATAATTTGCACCTAGAATCTGATTGTTTTGCTCATAAGCAATTTTTTTTTTTGCTTCAAGGATGCAAGGACCTTGAGATTCTGAACTTTGTTTGGAAATTGCAAGTATTATTCACCATTTGGAAAGCAATGTCACCATTGTCTATATAGCTGTCTTTGCATTGTCAGTGCACTCTCTGGCACTAGTTGGTATTCGTGGCTGTCACCTTCACTGTGATACTACTACAGGTGTCACTGGACACCCTCATCATGTGTCCAAGTGAGTCATGCCAAGGCATTAGTACACCAAAAACATCTTTATGCCAGGCCTGGTGTTGCACACCTGAAATCCCAGCGGCTCCGCTTGAGGCAGGAGGATCAAAAGTTCAAAGCCAGCCTCAGCAATTTACTGAGGCCCTAAGCAACTTAGCAAGACCCTATCTCTAAGGAGATACCAAAAAAGGTCTGTGGTATGGATCTGTGGTTAAGCACCCTGGGTTCAATTCCTGATGAAAAAAAAACAAAAAACAAAAAAACAAACATCAAAACCTGTTATTATTGTATAAGTGACTTTCATTATTTCTCCCTCATATGATACTATCATATTGTCCTAAAATTATCTTTGCTTAATTATCTCTTTCATTTCAAATTAGACATGTAGCATTACAAAATATTAATTTTTGTGAGAGTTGGGGGAAAAATTGCACCTAAACCTAATCTAATGTTTAGATTTCTGAGCAATGAGGGGGAACAGAGGAACACCTGCATGGCACTATGGGAAACCAGCAGGTGAAGAAGAATGTGAGACACACCTTAGGACAACCCCCCCACCCCCCCCACACACACAGTATCCAAGAAAAGGCAAGGGAAGGGGAGAACTGTTATAGAATAGTGGAGGCCTGGGAAAGAAACAGTCAAATTCCTTGAGTGGAATTTCTTTGCATTCCAATTTGAAGAAACGTTATAAAACAGATAATTTAGGAACAATGAGGTTATCTCATATGGACTTAAAATATGGTAAGTATTTCTGAATTTCCTGAAATGTTTATGGACATGAAGGTTATGTTTTAAAAGCCCTCATCAGTTACAAGTACATACCCAAGGTAATTAAGTCTGAGACATCCTTTTTTTTTTTTTTGGTCTAATTGAAAATTGTTGAAGTTAAGTAATAAGTGACTAAATGTTTTTTATACTAGTCTCTCTACTTCTGCATATGTCTGAAGTTTTCCACAGGAAAAAGTAAACTCAAAATAAAGATGTTAGGGCTGGGGTTATAGCTCAGTGGTAGAGCACTTGCCTAGCACATGTGAGGCCCTGGATTCAATCCTCAGTACCACATAAAAATAAATAAATAAAATAAAGGTATTTTGTTCATCTACAACTAAAGATAATTACAAAAAAAGTGTGTTTCAGACACTAGCACATGGTAGGTATTCAATAAATGTTCATTTTTCTCCTCTGACCGCAAGGGCTTACAGCCCTGCTTTTTAAAAATGTTGATTTTGTGTTTACTTGCAGTAATGGAGATAGAACACAGGATTTTCCCCCATGTTAGGCAAGTGTTCCACCACTCAGCTACACCCCAGGCCCTTTTTAAATTTTTCTTTTGAGATGAATTCTCACTAAATTGCTGAGGCTGGCCTCAAATTTGGGATCCTCCTGTCTCCGCCTCTCCAGTAGCTGGGATTGCAGGTGTGCACCATGTCCCACTACAGCAGATAGAATTTTCTGCCATGGTCAACATGTGCTCTACCTGAACACTTCAGTGTGGTTACCAATCTTTGGAAATGTGACCAGCATAATGGCAAAAGTGAATTTTTATTTTAAAAAATTAACAAATTTTATTTTGATTAACTTAAATAGCCACAAAGGCTAGTAACTACCGCATTGGACTATGTGATTCTAAAGACTTGAGATTCACTGATTAAACCTTGAAGGCAAGGGAGGGAAGGAGCGGGGTGCAAATATATTAACAACTGAGATTTTGTCACCAGGGATAGAGAAAGTGGCTGCCACTTTGGAAAGCAGAGAGGAATGTGGCCACTTTAATCTTGGGATTAAAGGATAAGGATTAAGGAGATAGAAGCTTTCGTGATAAGGATCAGATCAAACACAGATGGGTGAAAGCTGATACTCTGTAAGCAGGATACAATTATTCTGTCAACTAATCCATGTGATTCCTGCTCCTGGGGGCAGAGTCAGGACAAGACTAATATGATCCTCCTCTCCTGTGCTCACAGGCCACAGAAATGAACAAAAGCTAGAATCCAGGGAGGGATGTCAAGAGTGTTGTACAGAAAAATAAGAAAGACTAAGTGGACACACAGGTTGGGAGGGGTTGTCTGTTAGGAGACGGCCAAAGAAAGCCACTGTGAGTGAGGAGGTGACATGTCAACAAAGACCTGAGTGAGGTTTATAGATATTTCCCCCTACTCCAAAAATGTTCAATATCAGTGGTCAACAACTTTTTTCCTATAAAGGACCAGACAGCTTGCTGGCATCTGGTCTATAATATAATATCAATATGACTAATGGCTGACATTTTATTATAAGTGGTAGATATCTAATAATGAAGGATCGGTAAAATAATAGTATTGGCCAAGTCCCCATTGTTTGTTTTCTTGCTTACTGAATAACTTTCCTGAGGAATTGGGAGCCCTAGTCCATGGTTACATGGCCAGAACCAGTGGCTGAATATTTAATGAATGAATAAAGAGCCTAATGAAATAAACACTGTTATCACCGCTCCCCGCCCTTTTCAGTTCAGAGAGGTGAAGTGATTTATCCATGATCACACAGTTAGCAAATAACAAAACTGGGATTCGAACCCAGGTCCCTAGCCCAAGGGCAGAGTAACTTTGGATAGAGGGGGAGCAAAGGCAAATACTAATTCTTTGATAAAGAGTTAAGATCTTCATTTTACAGAGGGGAGAACTGAGTCTCAAGGTGGTTTAGAAACCTTGCCCAAGATCTGTGATTCTGAGAGTGGGGAGGAAGTTGGAAGGATAGACAGCGTGGGACTGCCTTCTCAGTGCACAACGGGTACCCAGAATCCCTCACCTGCCCAAGTCACCAGTAGCTCCTCTTCTTGTTGCTTTCCCTCAGGCTCCTCTGAGAAATTCTCCAGAAGCTTCTCTGCTTCCTGGGCCTCAGCACTCCCTGGGGCTGCCCAGCCCAGAAAAAGTAGGACACTGCCCAGGTCTGGGTGGGTAGGAGGGTCACAGAAATCCTGAGGGTGGTCCCGTAGCCAGGAGCCCAGCACAGATACCACAGCCCTGGACAGAGGAGCAGGCTCAGAGCTGGGCCCAGAGCTTGGGAGCTCCCAACCTTTCAGGTTAGCAAGCCTCCAGCCCTCAGACCTCAAGACTGACCATTGACCTTGGAAATACTTTCCTCCCTCCACCCCACTCATCCCCCACCTTTCAGGGCGGCCAACCTCAAGTTCTTATTGAAGCTCAGATCTTGTCCTTCCGTCTTCTTGTTCTCTACCCTGGGAAGAAGCCCTCATCAGATGAAAGGGGGTCGCCAGAGGGTGCTTAGAAGGAGGGCTCTGGGGTGGGGAGTGTTTCCTGGTTCCAAACCTGGGGAGGTGGGGGAAGGAACCCAGGTGGGAATCTGGGGATGAGAACCTGCAGGTTTCTGAGGGCCACTGACCTGGAAGGTGGGGGTGGGGGCGGCGGCGGTGGCAACAGATATTCCAACACTCGGGCAGTGGGCACAAAGGCCCTGTGGGTGGCCAGGAAAGCAGGCACAAAGCCCGGGTCCTGCTCCCGGTCTCCTGACACCAGCTCGCTCACCAGCCTCTCCAGCCGAGCGGCCCTGAGCGCCCGCACCTTGCTGGTGCGGTAGTGGAGGAAGGTATCGGCAGCGGGAGTGGGGGTCTGCGGGGGGGGGCAGGGAGGGGCGGCAGTGAGAGACCAGGAGCCCCCATGCCCCTTTTCATTCACGGCCATCACTAGCCATTCCATCTGATCTTATCTATTCCTCTGAATCTGAATATTTCTGATTTATTATTTTGCTTTGTCCACAAAGGACTCTCCAGCAACCGGTTCCAGGCATCTTTGTCCTCCTGAGTCCTGACCTCGGTCCCTCACTTTGCCAACCCTGGGCTTCTGTGGCCCTCCAGTCACGCTCCACCGGCTGTGCTGAGGCCCCACCTACCCTCACCTGGCTGCTTCCAAACTTCACCGCTCTTTCCTGCTCTGACCCACTAAACCGACTTCCCCAGAGCCGTCTGTCTAGTTCTGCCCTTACCTGGTTACCCCAGGTCCCGCTCAGGAACGCACCATCGCCCAGCCTCACTATTTCCTGGATCTACCCCCACTCACCAAGTTGCCCCCAGGTACCCTTCTACCCTCACCTGGTCACTTTTAAGCTCCGCCCTTCCTTCGAGCCCCACTGCTCCTGGCGGCCCAAGCTTTGCTCTCCAGCTTCTCCCTCACCCGGTCACTCCCTGGTCTCGCCCTTCAACCCGTCCTCACCTGGTCGCCTCTTCCCCCACCCCCCAGCCCCTTCCTCACCTGGCTGCCCCCAGGACCCTCCCCCGGGCTCCGGCGCTGACTGCGCTGCCTGCGCAGGGAGACACTGTACACCGCGCCGTCCTCGGTCTCCTCACCCCAGTCCTGCACCGGCGCCTGGACGGGAGGCGGGCTCAGGACAGTCCCGGGGCCACGGCTCAAGTTAGCCGTTGGAACTCAAGCCTGGCCTTCCGGGGGTTCCCGCTTCCCGCGGGGGTCTACAAGACTCGGCAGGGCAGGTCCCAGGTGGTGCCCTCCCGCCCTGGGTACCCTCCTCCCAGGTTCTGAAGGGGTGGGGTGGCATTTGTGGAGTCCTAGGGTTCAGTCTCATGGATGTTTCTGACGCCTCCTTCAGCTGCACCCAAAGACCCCCGCCCACGAACCAGCCACTTCACTGGGTCAAGAGCCCTGAGTCCCGAAGTGGGGACGGAGGCAGATCCGATTTGAGTCCTAGGGGTGGGAACCTTAAGTTTTTGGACCGGGGGCGGGTCACCGGGTCGTGAGGTTCCGAGATCCCCAACCCCCTTACCAGGGCGAGCTCCTGGCCCGCCGACCGCTCCATGGCCCACACCCGTCCTGCTCTGCGGCGCCGCTGAGTGAGGCGGAAGGGCCGGCGGGCAGTGGCTGAGCTCTGGGGCAGGCGGGGCGGGCGGGGCGGGGCGGCCGGTCTCGCTTGGGCGGGCTGACCCGGGACTCTGGTGGCCCCCCGCCCGACCGCAAGGCCCAGGCCCACCTCGGAGAGACCCCGGTTCTACCAGTGGGCGTCTATCAACCTGCCTCAGGAGAGGGCGCGTCTGTCCCCGAGGGAGGGCTTCCTTCTCTATCCTCAGGTGTGGAGGGCTGAAGTTGTGTATAGCTAAGGGAGGGCAGGTATGTGTCCCCAGGCCGAGTCCTCTGTCCTCAAGTGGCAGGGCTGCTCCGCCCCAGGTGTGGGGGTATCCCTCGTGACTTTATGCATCAGCTGATAGGAGTCATCACGCCCCAGGTTGGAAGGGGCTGTCTGCGGCCCTGGGTTTTATGGGACGATGTCTTTTCAGTCGTGCAGGGGGTCAAGAAGAGGTGAATACCCAGGAGGCTGGTCGGTGACCTTTATTGCGCGATTCTGAGGCCAGCGCTGACCCGCCTCGGGAGATTTACTGTGGGAACATCTAGTCCGGCCCCCTCTCCTCCGGGCGGCCACTGGCCTGCCAAGCTCCCCGTCCGGGCCTCATCCAGCCCTTGAAGGGGCCCCATGGACCCGTGACTGGACCCAGAGGAGTCGGGGGCTCTGAAGGGGAATGGAGGCTCCAGATGGGCAAGATGCGAATCTAGGACCTCCGCGAGCGGCTGCGCTTCTTGCTGCGGGTTTCGATTAATTTCTGGGAGCGGATCTTGAGAGAAGCGCGGCTCACCACTACGCTGTCCTCCTCCTCACTCTCCTCTTCGTCTGCGAGGGCACGGGGCGATGCGGCGAGCGGCTCCCCAAGCTCAGATCAGACTTTCCTCCCCAGCCATCACCACCCTCCCCACCTCCACCTTGGCCCAGAGCCCGTGCTCAGACCACCTCTTGCCGCCCCAAACCCCACGCCCTTTTCCAGCCAGCACTGACCGAAGAACTTGTCCTTGGAACTGGCAAGGTGCAGGGGGATGCGAGTGTTGTACTGGGGCAGCTTTCCTTCTAAGGTGGCATAGAACTAAGTGGAGGGGGTAGAGAGGGAGGTGAGGGCGAGGCTGGGGCCCCAGGGAAGTTCCTCTCCCCTCCTCCATGCCGATTCCAGAGACCACTACCCACTCCTATTTAGTTTTGACTCCAGCCCGGCTGCGTCCCTCATTCTCACCAGACACTCCGATGCCCAGCTGCACCCACTTGTCACTCAGGCCCACCGCGGGTCTTTGGGGTCCTGCCACTAAATCTCTGGATGCCCACCCTGAATCCCCCAGTCTCGCCCTCTGGCCTCGCGAGACCCACTGCAGCTCTCTTGGCTCCTCTCCCGTTTGTAAAAGGCTCACTCCACACGTTTTCCCTAAGACCCCTTTCCAGCTCCTGAGCTTCTCCAACTTGGCCTCCTAAAGGCTGCCCCGCCCCCTCAGCCCCAGGGTCTCCTGGGTCCTGCCCCGTGGCTTCAGGGGCACCTCGCGGTCGGCGATGTGACGCAGCATCTCCGGCACATCGTGGCTCTCGAGCTGTGCCTGCAGTTTCAGCAACTTTTCCTCCACGAGGCCCAGCAGGTTCTGCAGATAGTCCCCAGCGTTGGGATCTAATTCCTTTCCCGCAAAGCGGCCGTTCTCCTGTGGCCAGCGAGAGCCAGGTCAGTTGCAAGAGGCTGGGCCTCTGGGGGCTGGGCCACCAAGCTGGGGTTTTCCCTCAGGGACTCGGCTGCAGAGGGGAGGAGCCACCCACTGGGCTGGAGCTTACTCCAGGCGCCCGGACTCTGAAATCAAAGGCCACGCCTTGAGGGCGGGCCTCTGAACTCCAGGGGCATAAAAAGGGAGCGGGGAGGCCTCTTGGTGAAGGGTAGAAACGCGAGGAAGGCAGTAGTGACCTTCTGAAAACATGGACTTGTGCAACGACAGGGTGGGGCTTCTCCTGTCTCCGGCCGCTCCAGGATTGGAGGCGGGCCTCTGAGGTTTGGGGTGGGGGGAGAGTAGGCCTTTCCCATGGGGAGCGGAGTCAGGCAGGTCAAGGTATCTAAAATCCTAAGCCTCCTGGGGGTAGAGAGGCTTTACCAGGGATATGGGGCGGGGACTCCGGTGAGTGGGGAGGGGCTTTCCTGTAGGCGGAGCTTTTGACATCCTGGGTTCCCTGGGCCTAGGCGGCGGTACCCCCAAGCTTGACTGAACCTCTAAAGTCCTAAGAGGCTGTGGGCGGGAGCCGTTCGAGGGCGGGGCCTACCACTTTGACGTGATTCAGCTTGCTCGCCAGGTGCTCAAGGTTTTCCTTAGTCGTCTGCATCGCCCTCAAGGTGCGCTCCAGCTGATCCTGTGCGTCAGCGTGTCGCTGCCCCTCGGTCTTGAGGTTCTCCTGCATCTCAGTTTGCATCTTCTGCTGGCTGCAGGGAGGGGAGAAGTCACCACCGAGCACTGCCGACCCCGCCCTCCCTCCGGCCTCCCTTGAGCACCCTGGCCTCACCTCACCATCATGGCCTCCCCAGAGTACTTGAGGTCTTCGAGCTCCCTCTGTAACCGCCGCTTCTCTTCCTTTAGCCTCGTCAGCGTCTGTTGGTTCTCACTCTTAAGAGCCTCCAACTGAGCGAAAGTGTCGCCCTGGGCCACAAACCGCCGCACCACGGACTGCGGACCACCCAGCCCCAGTCAGAGCCTAGGGAGGCACCGGCCTGCTCCGTCTCCTCTCCTTCCTCCCCGCCACACAGGATAAGTGGTCTAAGCTGGTGGCTTCGGCAAACTGATGTATGGGGGCAGTGGGGGTCGGACTTGGGGTTGCCTCAAGAGTGTACAAAATCCTGGACAAATCCTCTTTCTTGCGCCCCTGTCTACATTTGAGCTGGCCAAAATCGATATGGAGTGGGGGACAGAGCAGCCGTGAGCATAGCTGCTTTCCAAAATTAACGTGCCAGCAACTTCTGCAGGGAATCTCGTCCATTCTCACTAGTAATACCGGCGTCTGGGGAGCCATCCGCTCACCGGACACACTTCTGAAAAGGGGTTTGCCTTGGTGCCCCAGATGATCCCATATTTGGGAGTTCAGGGCCTCCTGGGGATCAACTTGGGAGCAGCGGCAAGGTCACAGAGAACCCAAAGGGTACAGACTAGTGTTCCTCAGTGGAAACCGGGCACTTTAAGGGGACACAGGAGCCTTGAAATTTTTTCAAGCCAGGTGCGGTGGCACACGCCTGTAATCCCAGTGGTTTGGGAGGCTGAGGCAGAAGGATTGAGAGTTCAAAGCCAGCCTCAGGGAGCTGGGATTGTAACTCAGTGGTAAAGCCCTTGCCTCGCATGTGTGAGGCCCTGGATTCGATAAAAATAAAGATATTGTGTCCGTTTGCAACTAAAAAAAAAAACATTAAAAAGAAAAATCCAGCTTCAGCAATTTAGCAAGATCCTGTCTCTAAATAAAATATATTTTAAAAGGGTTGGGGATGTGGCTCAGTGATTAAGTGATTAAGTGTCCCTGGGTTCAATTCCTGGTATCAAAAAAAAGGAAGAATAAGAAGAAATTTTTCAAAGAGGACAACTGTAAATTGTGAGAGACAGGACAAGACGAGTCCTCCCCGGGGGGACAGGCCAAAGAAGTCAGCGCAGGGAGGAGAGGAAGCATGTAGGCAGTCCCGTGGGTCCTGTGTAAAGGGCAGCAGTTTCTCCGGTGGGGGTGGGTAGCTGAGGGGAAAGGGGGGTCTCTCAAGAAGACAGCAAGTGCGTGCGCAGAAGCCTAGGCCGGCGAGAGGGGAGGCGGAGTGTGGCGGTCTCCCTCCCCTGGACGCGGCTGGGGTCCGTCTGGGGAGGGAGAGGGCTACCGCGGCACTCACGTGCGTTTCTGCTACGCCGGTGGCGTCCTTGACCTTGCCGAAAATCGTCTCCATTTGGTACATGTTCCAGCGCCGTCGCAGCTCCTCGTCCTTGGCGCGCAGGTGGTCCTGCAGGGTGTCGTCGGACTGCAGCAGTATGTGCTCCCGCTGAGTCTGCTCTTGGAGTGAGTCAAGGCCAGGGTCCGTTGGTGGACAGAGGTTTGGGGCCAAGGCTGGGAGGGGACAGGGTTCAAACTGGGGAGTGGGGGCCGTGCAAAGACCTGGAGCCAGGTAAGAACACTTGGGCGGGGATCAGAGGACTCGGCACGAGGTGGCTTCAGAGCCAGCACAAAGGGGAGGAGTCAAGAGAGGGGCGGGCTATCAGCAGGGTCAGATTTAGGTCAGGGGGGCCTGGTCAGAAGGGGGAAGGGTGAGTGGAGACCAGGAGTAAGGGGAGGTTCTGGCAGTGCCAAAATGGGCACTTAGGTGCGAGGGAAGGAGAGAGAGGAGGGCAGGATGTGGATGCGGTGGATGTGGGAGGAGCCCTCGCACCAAGTGGAGGTGGAGTCAGGGAGGGCGGGGTTAGAGTAGGAAAGGGTCCAGGGTGAGGGCTAATGGGGACATGACTGGGAAGGGACAAGGCCAGGTCGTGTTGGGTTTGGGCTGGTCACGAAGCCCTGCACCCCTGGGTGCGCCCACCTTGCGCTCCATGCGCTCGTTCTGCAGTTTCTTCTCCTCAGCACGCTTCTTGCAATCACTTATGAAGCGCTCGCGGCTCTTGCGTTCTCGAATCACGGTCTCCTCCAGATACTGCAGCTGGTTCTGGAGGGCGAGCAGAGGGGCAGCTGGTACCCATGTCGGCTGGAGGCAGAGCGCACAGGCCCCGGTAGACACTGCCGGGACAGGTCGGCAGGGTGTGGTGGACAGACAAGAGCGGCTCAGGCGAGGCTGGGTTCAGATTCTGGGGAGGAGACCTTGACAGATGGGCTGGCACCTTGGCAATGTCCCGTGCGTTGAGGGCCTCCTGATTCACCACGTGCAGTTCCTCCACCTCCTGTTTGGTTCTCACCACCTCAGCCTCCATGGAGTCCAGACGGTTGTCCAAGTTGAGGCTCTCCTCCTGGGCATGGGAGTGCGACAGGTCTGTGGCTGTGGTTCGG